GATCAAATCATACGCTCGCAAGCTCAAGGCCGAAGGCAACGATCCCATGAACGCCAAGGGATTCTTCAAGCCGCCGCAACAGCCCCCCAAGAACAACATCTTCCAGGAGATCTTAAGGCTCGATTCGGGAACGCATCAGACCCTTCAAAACAAGTCCATCGAGGCATATCCCAGCCTCGTAGTGATGAGAATGCCGAAGTTTGCGTTCTCGAAGAAGAGCTTCATGGAGCCCATCGACTATGACAAAGTTGACTAGGACCTCAGCTTTGTCATGGCGATGTGGGCCGTCATGATACACTTCCCTAACATCTTCAAGGAGTGGAAAGGTAATAAGAATGCCCCAGCTCTGTCCAAGGACAACCGACACTTTGCGTGGGGATATTCCCACGAGGACTGGACCAGAGCATACTACACGGTGTCGATGTTCTTATATCGCCGCCGCACCCATGAACCCATGTCATGGGACAAGCGGGCAGCTAGGATCACAGAAGATGTGAGCTGGGCGGGCTACTACAACGCAGAAGAGGCCGCGGTGGAAGAGTCTGAAGCTCTCACCTACGACCGCGAGATGGCACTGGCATCGCACAGTCTAGAGGAACTCGTCGTTCCGGTGTATTCCGATCTCGATGAAGACTCCGATGAGGACACCGAGGAAAGACAGCACGTGAGGTTCCAGAACGACCTGGAGAGAATGGGCATGCAGGACGAGCTGGACCAATACAACAAGATCTACTCTCCGGCACTCACCGATACCGAAGTAGAGACCCTCCGTTGGTCCATCCGGGCCGATCAGCAGCATCTGATATTGGAGATGTTCCAGCCAGCCCGGAAAACCACCTCCACGATCAACGAGAAGGCCGCAGCGCTTCGTAGGAGCAAGCTTACGAACGCCGAGGTAAAAGTCCTCTTGGGTATTGCGGAAACCATCGCCAATGTGAAGGAGTACGAACGCGCTGGCAGAACCCTCGCGAAGGACACACGCCTGCTTGCGGTTTCAAAAGGAGAGGGCGACGAGGCAATCCGACATGCGTTGGCAGCAGAACGCAACACGCCGGCCTACGATGCCGCCGAAGTGCACAACCCCGGCGGCGCCCTGCAATTTGATCCCGACGCCGTGGGGCTCGCGGAGTCCCGCCGCCTCATGGGCGAAAATCTTCCCCAAGATAACGACTTGGTAAGAATCTTGTCGGAGTTTCTGGTTGCTCCTCAGGGAGCAACATGGAAAAATTGCCCAATCTCACCCGATCAGCCCGATTTCTGTCTCAAGCCACATCAAATCATCGGTAAGTCTATAAACTGGTGCTGCTTGAGTTTTACAAAGGCCCTCTTCATCTTTCTAGTGTAGCTCAAACGGCGCCGCCTCGCCTTCCCCTTCCGTCTGGAATTGCTTTTCCCGAGCCCGCGACTAACCTCTCTAGACATCGCATGGCTCCTCGCTCAGCTCTCGCACCCGATCCGCGCCGCCATTCTCGCCAACGAATGCGATACTGGCAAGACAGTCACGGCTTTATTCGCCCTCGCGGAGGCAATTGCCCGGCACAAGGCGACTAACGAGAATGATCCGTCAGCAACCTACAAGCCCTCAGCGATCGTTGTGCCCGCCTCCGTGCTAGACCAAACGCATTCGGTGATCGTGGACAAGTTCTACCACTTGTTCCGAGTCCACGTGTTTTACCAGGAGATCCATACGGCGCCCAGGAGCCGCCAAAAGAATACAATTGGCTCCCAAGAAGATTTTGTGGCGCTTATTCAGAGGTTCAAGTCGGAGGAGGCGAAGCCAGAGACGGCGAACAACATCATTCTGATGACTTACTCGACCAACAACCGTCGCTTGATCCCGAGTGATCATCAGTCCCAAGTGAACGTCTACGACGAAGAGTCGGACCAGGGTGAGGAGAAAGTCGCCGCGGAGTTTGAAGACGACTTTGGGAACCCCAACAAGCAGAACACCGGCAGCGGAAAGTCATCGCGCAGCCGGGGCGGTCTAAGAACGAGAAACGGGCACTTTGACCTCCCGTGTGAGGTTGACCTCTTCGGATTCATTACCGACGAGGGCCACATCATGAGGAACCATCACTCACTGTCGTGGATCATCTGCGCAAAGTTTAAAAAGGAGTTCTGTTGGCTCTTGACTGCTACGCCGACGGTCAGCGGGGTTCATGACCTACACGGATATATGCTGGCATTCTGGGAGAATGCTTTTGGCTACAGATCTGCACCTGCTAACTCAGACTCTGCCCTTGAGATCATTTACACCGACCGGTTCGTTGAAGCTTTCAAAAAGCGTGACCAAAGGGAGATGGCTCGACTAGGCGTTCAGTTCAACACGCTCATGACGACGACCGAGGAGGCCTTCGCACAGGCGAAGGACGGTGGCGACACGGGTTACTCACTGAGTAAATTCCAGGAGGATAGACGCAAAGACTACCGCACGGCAATGGAAAACGGAATCCCGGTCTACCTCTTGAACCCCCAGAACTTCCTGCGCCATGGAAGGAATACGAAGTGGAGTGTCGAGTTCACTTCGACGGCCGTCAAACATGCCCTGGCCATGTGCCAGGTTCGGAGAGGGATGTTGACGCCAATCACCCTACCCGACGGCACGCAGACCTGCCTAGGAGAGGATATGCCGCCCTGCGACGTCCAGACCATCGAGCTAGCGCATAGACGCCGAGGAGATGTCGCGTCCTTGGAGAAGTTCATCAACAGATACACGAATGATATGTTGCTGCAACCCGCGAGCAGCATCATTCCTACCGAGGGCGGGGCCGGGGAGATCAACGACCACACCACATCTCGCATCAACATCGCAGCGATGCGGAACGCGTCGCTCGTCAGTACGAATCTCCGCTTTGCAGCGTTGACTGACCCTTCGAGGCGCCTGGCGCGAGCAACAATTGACGGCTCCGCTGCCGCAAAGATGAACGACATAATCCCCAAAGATGCCACCCACTGCCTGCAGTACTATTACCTTGCTACCCGAATCGACTCGGCATTGGGATGTCCGACAGACACCATTACCCTGGCTCGGTACGCCATCTCCGGGTCACCTAAAATGGCGTGGTGCTTGAAGTACGCCCTCGACCTCTCCAACAAGGGCGAGCGATGCCTGTTCTACACTATTAGCCCGTTGACCGCTATGTAAGTCCATTTACCACCTAAGTGACGCCAGTTGAGTTTGACAAATCTATCCTATTCGGAGCATTTCTTATTTGGAGCATTTCTTATCAGTCTCAAGTGGCGCCACTTCAGCCCTGATCACTTTCCTTCAAGGGCGCCCACTAATAAGACAATAGGATACTGAGCGCCGTACTCACTTTGTGCGGTATTGAAACTCTATCCGTCCGCTCCACTCACAGCCAGACTGAACGCGATCGGATGCTTGCGGATTTCAACGATCCCAACTCTACAGTGCGGGCAATGGTGACTTCTCCTCTGCTGGCCGCGTCTGCCGTCAATTATCACAATGCCTGCCACAACGGCGTGGTGGTGGAGAACTGCCCAAACCTGGGCCTACAATGGCAAGTAATTGGCCATCTCTGGCGCCTTGATCAGGAAGAGAAAGTGCGCTGGAAGCTGCTGCAAACGCAGAATTCTCTGGACCCGTGGATCGAGACGCGGAACCTCAGGGCATATGCGAGCAACGTCGAGGCGGAGGCTGCCATTGACGACCGTATCCAGGGCCCTCTCCGTACAATCTGTGCGTTCGAGATTCTGCGGTTCTACATCGGCGCCGGCTACAACTACTATCCGCGCTGCTGGCGACCATGGAATCTCTTGACAAGCGACGAGGTCCGGGAAGAGGGTATACTGTTATCGGCGGTCGCGCAGTGGCTCATGGCGCATCCAGAGGACGCAGGAGACGCTGTCCCGATGATCGAAATCGCCAAGCGGTGGAATAATTCTATGCCAATGACGCGTGACATCATCGTCGGCGCGGCTCGGGAGCTTGGCGGCCAGAACTATATCAAGTTCGACTGGTTCACCGCGATGGACCCAAGCCTGGGCGACCCAGAAGAGAGAGCCAAGCTCTTCAAGGTTCTGGGCATCTAGCACCAGAATCCCGATGAATAAGAAGGGCAAATCAGCAGATATTGATTGACAACATCTTCAGCGAAGAAGGACCGCGATGAGCTCTTGATATCGAGTCGAGCTCGTTAGTTTGGAGCAGATGGAATCGGGCTGAATTTCGCTTTTCTCTTTTTGCCTTTCTGCTTTAAGACGCGGATTTGACATGGAATCAATCTGCGTGGAATGGGTTTGGATCTCCCACTAGGGAGTCGCCCCAGTTTGTACATATAATGATATTCTGGCCTAGGCCCAGTACACAGTCGCATCTCAATTCTCTTTGCCCTTTCTCTTCTTCCTGCTTGACGGACCGCCGTTTCAGATTCGCAAAAGCCCTTCTTATCACCTGGAGAGAATTTGAATGCTGCCATTCCCTCTGTTTCGCCACTTGAGCAACTGACAAGGAGCCGTTTATGGTGAACGTCAAGAATGGAAGCAGGATGACGTTACGTGCAGTGTATTGAGAACCCACTATAGTATTCTCAAATATCTATGATAGTTTGATCTACCCCCGTTGATCTCATTTTCTGATCGTTCGGGCTGTCTGAAGGGGAAACTTCGTGGCAGCGTGCCCTTCGGCAGGAAAGAGCGAAGGAATGTCTGAGCCAGCCAGAGCCCTCTACTCAATAACCTCTCAACTTATACATATTCTAGAAGTTTTTATAGGCTGCATCTAACACCTGCTTTTTGTTATTCTCATTATTCTTGTTATTATAAGTTTATTCCTTATAGAACATAGTTAGAATAACGTAAAGTAGTAAAAAGTAAAAAGGCGAGAGAGTTAAGGGAGAACTTTGTTATAACCCTTTATATATATGTAAACTCTGCGCAATGTTATTAAAAATATCATCTCGAAGGTCTATAGCTTAGGATATTAGAATGGCTTCCCCTATTTTCCTAACTCCCGCCCGTCAAAAACCACGAGAATGTATTCATAGGCATGGCGGTTTATCACCACCACTACCACGAGCACCCTCATCTACCCTAAACTATCCCGCAACCGACATGTATAGTGATAAAATACAATCGGTACCGCGGTCCTGACTACTTGCCTCTTCTAGAGGTAGTCCTAGGTAGTCCTGGTAGTTGCTTCGGCAAAGGTCCAGCCGGCAGAGCATGATGGCTCCGGTCAGAAGATAGCTCATGACCAGTGCTATAAGGTATTAAGCACTCTAAAATCAGCTCTTGTAGGGCCTTCTGGTTCCGTCTCGGCGACGCTACTGCTGCTGCTGCTGCTACTGCGAGCACGAAACGTTGAGTACTTATGTATTACCCTTTCGGGCTTCAGTTATGAGGAGAAGCGGTTGTTGGGGTGCCATCGTACACACCTTGAAGTTCGAACGTCGAATATGTGAGTGGTCGTCGGCTTGGAGAGGAGTGATTTTGTTGATAGGTAGAATGGGCGCCCTCCTACAGTTTGATAAGTAGGGAGTATTCGCTGTTGTCCGGCCATTGTATCGCCTCAAGTATTCTGATCGCAATATGCAAGATACTCTTTGTAGTTGTAAGGAGGGAAAAAAAGATCTCCAAGAAGTAGATTCCGCTTTTGGGATGGTTGTTGGCTTGGAGAGAAGAGGTTTTGTTGACACAACGAGGAGCACACCAGGGCTTCTATAGACAAGCTTTTGTTTACATGAGCTCGGGGTCCTCTTGCCTACTTGAAATGAACGTGTGTTGTGCTTTGTCAGGAGAGAGTCGTATGGAAGGTACCTTACCTAAGGTGAAGAGGAAGCAAGAGGGCAGGGCTGCATAAACGGACTTCCCGATTAAGAAGGGAAGTTGAAGCTCTGATTCCGAAATCTTCAGCACGTCTTGACAAAAGTCGAAGGAGCTTTCGAGATGGAAGGGAACATCAGTGGAAGGCATGGCAGGTAAGGAAGAATTCTGGGCGGTTGAGGCTCTTCCAGCGCGAAAGGTGAGATACGCCTGGAAGACGCCATGATCCGTAGGCCATGGTCATCAATAGGAGGAAGGTGGTCTTGAGAGAAGGAGTACGTGAAGGCAAGTACCTTACTGTAGTATTCTGAGGCAGATGTAGCAGCGAAAGGAGGTGCAGGATCAACATCTGATCTCTTGATGAGTGTTGCTTAACATGGTAAGGCAGGTAGTGCGTGACCCACGACGGAGGACTTTCCCTCCAAGACGTGACTTCCCCCCTGAACCATCCGGGTTTCCACCGGGCTTGAATACACAACCTGAATAGCCATACACCAAAGCTTCATATACCCCTCCGCGGCCATTCCTGTCACCGGCCAGCAGGCGCCCGTCTAGGTCGACGGGTCAGGTCAAACTGGCTGGGTGGTGGAGTGGTTTACGGTCAACAATCAATTCGCCAACCAGCCTACTCGACGACAGGCTCAGCGCATACCCGAGTTCGAGTCCCAGCTTGAGCACCAAAATTTCCCAGCATGAGCACCAAGAGATGTAGCCCCCAAATCGGCACCGGGGGGGCGAACTCTTTTGTCAGTCTGAATGACTTTTCGATATTAGCCGTGCCAGGATCAGTATGACCTCCGCAAGCGTTACTGATTCGAGCTTTCATCCGTGGCAGTCATTTATACCTCACAGAGACTCATATCAGATGGGTGAAATCAAATGCCAATTGCTATGACTCAAGACTAAGCAGCCTTACGCCGCCATAGTATTGATATGTGATGCAATTCCAGCTTCGAGATGCAATGTACCTACCGCAGACTTTGCTCTCTTTGGCAGGCATGCGTTTTGAGGATATCGAAGCCCTACTTATAATCAGCATCAATGGAAAGTCCGAGGATGTTATCGAAGATCCTCCTGAGGGGCTTCATCTTTCCGCCATCCTCGTGAGGTAATCGTAGTGAGAAGCCGCAATCAGCCTCTCCCCGTCTGTGCCCTTCTCTCACTCTCATCCGGTTCGTCCCAGGCATATGTCGAGTCAAACCCGTCCCACCAGTCCCGGCGAACCACACCCCCCTCGAGATAGGCTCTGTAATTGAAATGCGATGCCCACTTCACTTTGTTCACATCCTCGCCCTTTCCAATGTTTTTGTACGAAATAAGTCGTACAATCCGGCTTCCGTCTACATCCCTCCATTCGTACGTGTAGTTGGTGTAACAAAAGGCACAGGCATTCATCCTCTCGTTGCCCAATGAGAGCTGTGGCTCCACAGCCGGATCCCAGATATCGCGTATCCTCATCAGATCATCGCGTGCCAGGAGTTGGCCGTAGATCGCGGCCTCCTTAGGGTCGGTAGGATACTGCATATCCTGCTGGAATATGAAAGGATAAGTCGCTTCCCAGTCCACATGCCCGCAACATGGGGTGAGGTTGTTCCAATCCAATATTTGGTAAAGGCAATGGACGTCATCCTTGTCCGCGGAAAGGTCCGTAACGGTCTTGACGATCAGTTCGCCTTCTTTGGAAACACGGCAGGTCATGGTTTGTACAACCTCTGCCTTTTCATTCTCGTGTCGATATGAAGTAGGTAACTCGACTAGATACAATTGATCGGCATCATACGGGCTCTCTTTAGAACGCCTATAAGCTCGAGTATTCTTGAACAAGTTGAAGTGAAAGGAACGGTGAAGATAGGGTGATAGCAGCCTCTGTCGCGGATTTGCGGGTTCCTGTGTCGTTGGCGCTTTTGCTGCTGAGCCAGGATAGATCAGGGTCGTGGAAGATCTGACAGGGCCTGCAGAGGATATTGCCAATTTCGTGCTCGTTGACGTCCCTCTCTAGCGACGACAGCAGCTCGAGTTTCTTATGAGACGGTAGGCTCAGCAGCCAGTTGTCATGTCCGAACATGGCCTACATTCTCTCGCTCGTCAGAGATAGGACTGCACGGTCGACTATGGTGAGATAAGCGGAGATACCGAGGAGTAACCCTGTCGGCATGACTTGATCGAGGCCTGGACCTTGGTATGCGTCTTTCCTCTTTCGACGGAGTCGGATAGCGCCAATTAATCGTTGACACCACGCCTTGGCTGATTTCAGAGGTTTTTCCCGACATGGGTGAGTGATGCTCTGTGTCTCTGGTAAATGTTCGCGCACCATGTACTCAAAAGGGCCCTCAGGGGCCTCTTCGAGAAGACAACACTTTTCCTCCCATACTCGGTTTCGCCTTGGGCGGGTCAAGTGAGACATTATTAACATCATGCCCATGTTGTAGTATGTCGAGTGGTTGCTGTTGCGTGTGTCTGAGAAGACTTTGCTGACCGCCTTTTGTCACCTTGTACATATACATCTATATAGTAGAAAGTACAATTCAGCCTTATCTCCATCAATAGTTTGGAAGGGTTTGGGCCGAAGAACCTTCTTCCTTTGATCGCCAAGTCCTCAAGGTTGCTAAGGTGTTCTGGGTCTACGTTAGGTAGGTATGATGGTTAGGTGGCGGCTCAGCAGGCTCATTATAAGGGAGCCTGAGATCTTCTCGAAGCGCACGGTAGACAAATACGCTTGTGAAATTCTCTATCATTCAGATAGCAAGAGGTAGTTTCTCAAGTGACAGAGATCATGCTGACGTGCCGGCACTGAGTACATTGGAGGCTTGAATGAGGAGTGACAGCCATGACGACAGTGGTGGTTTATCCTGTGACGAACTATTGACTCGACTTCATGGATGCTATGGAGATAGCCGCACCAGATAATTAGCCTCAAGTGGGTGATGGAACGATCCACCGGTCAACGCATAAGTAGTCCACCTTTCGAAGATGAACGCTGCGATCATACTAACCATCTTACTAGGATGCTTCAACCAAGTTACCTAGATAGTGTACCTAAGGACCAGCTAGAAAAAGCAGTGAAAGTGATAGTAGTAGTCATAGGAGACAGAGGTAGGGGCAGAAGCGGCTGATTATTCTGCGCCTCATCTGCCACCTTTCTGACAAGTTGCGCAATGGCTGCCGAGTTTCTTTGACGTTAAAGCCAGACGTCAAAAAAAGGTTGCTATGGTTCTCTGCCTTGAAATTTGGCCCTGAATTCCACATTGGCCGGAGGCCGAAGTGCGACCAGTAACACCAGCTCATCACCCATCAAACACTCAACCATCAAGAAGTCAACGGAACATAAGGCTGATAGAAGTGAGCAATGACCAAAGGTCTCTGCTATTTTAAGGCTTCCGTCTCCCACGGCGTTTCGGTTCGGGACTAGTGTGGGGAAGTGCAGGCGGGAGCCAGAGAACACCTGTTTGAGTGAGTGAGTGATGGGAATATGAGTGAATGAGGATGGGAATGAAAGTGAGAATGGAAATGCCGTTGTGGATCGACGAAACAAATAGGCAGTGCTGAGGTACCTTGAAACTGCAAGGTACCAACAGCGGCAAAGTTGGGTGCGATGATACTTCTGATTTCCCCGCAAGGGGAAGCCTGCACATGAGCCTCAGACGGCTCAACACGGTTCGCTGTTCATGGCACCTACTGCGTCCTCACTTTCCAACCCTGGCAAGCCTGGCCGCATCCAACCGGAAAGGTTATCCTACAGCACATTAAGGTAAGGTACATTGCTAAGTATGTAGTCGGAGTATGTACGGTAGGTACTTTGACCTCTCCAACGTCTGCCCGCCTGCCCACTGCACTGCCCGCCTGCCCGCGCTCGCTCGCTCGTCTACCAAACTCCAATTCAACCTCGACCCATCTACAACAACCTTGAGAGATGGCTGCTTGAGCTATCACTACTACACCAGTCTCCTTTCCGTCGACATCAAACGTACAAAGAGCGCTTCAAATGGTCTTGCGACATTCAACAATGCCATTTGCAACTCCGCATGCTACAACCAATATCTCAATGACATCGCCAAAGCGTTAATCGCGATCCCCGCCAGAACCAGCCCCCAAACGACGACTAGACCCAAACCACCTGGTCCACTACCCACTTAACGTTACCAAACATCCAGCGTCACTTACAATAAATCCCAGATCGCTCCGTGAATCTGGCTCTCGCGACTACCTCGACAGTTTCAAACCTCACTGCCGCCCGCCATGGACAGAACCATGGATCTGAGGGACATGGACTTTGAGTCTGCCATCGTGGACGACGATAAGGACGCCGACGTCCCCGTAAACGCCCTCAATACTCCACAACGCCTGGGCCGCTCGCCCTTGTCCAAGACGCGCTCCATGTCTGATGGAGGAGGAACTCCCTCCAAGCTTACTCCTTCACCGCACATTGCGGATGGTCGCCAGGCATCCAAGGACGATAACCACATCAGAGACACGGCCACCACACCCGTAACCCCTCACCGAACCGAATACCCCCTCCGCGGTCTCTCGCTGCAGATGCCCGCGAACCGCGATCCTGCCTCCCCTGCATCCAACTCGTCCACCGCATTTACGAAGCCCGCGCCGCTATCACCGAAGCTCGACCACTCGCAGATCTACGCGAGTCCAACGAATATTCTCCCTCGTCGCTCTCGCGGCCTCGACTTCTCGCGCGCTGCCACCAGCCTGCACCACTCAACACTCGCCGAGTCCTCACCCGACTCATCGCCTACCATCGGAGGAAGGGGCATGAATATCCCGGGACGCAGGAGTAACGACTACGGACAGGCCGAGCAGACCACCAACTCGTTGTGGTCCATGATGGGCAACCACGAGCGCATGACGGTGTCGAGCTCCCTGGGCAGCGCGAATCAGATTGGGTCAGATTCTTCTTCCGACTCCGACGACGATGACCTTATGGATGAGGATATGGACGAGCCGTACATTGGTACACCACAAGCCAACAAGACCGCCCCGCCTTTGGGCACACAACCTATGATGGCGCCCTGGGGAGGCTCTCCGGCAATGAACAGTTTGATGAGCTTCCAGCATAGGCAGCGTCAGAGGAAACAGCCAAAAAAGAAACACAAACTGCCACTAGGTCTAGGATTCAGTCCCAGCACAAATGCGGGTGTCTCAAAGTCGCCGCCAAACAACGTGCCCAAGGACATGTCGGCGCATTCACGTAGGGAGAGCATTAGCTGGCAGGCCAACCAGTTGCATATCTCTGGGAGCGAGGAAGAGCGAGGTGACAATATCGACGGTCTACTCTCGACTCCCAGTCGTGACGGGCAGCGCCCTACGGTCATGCGACGGGTAGTTACGCAGCGTAGAAACCTGCTGCCCAAGACGAAGAATTTTGCTCGTATCAGGGCAGCTTTATTCGAGGAAGGTGCGCCCGTTGAGACGGAAACCCAAAGAGAGGCCGAAGTCGTCCGTCAAGTGCGAGAGAGTGACGTCGATCTCGGAGCACCTCGTCAACAGACCGTTCCTCCTGCTACTACCCACTCGTCGCCGAATTTAGGGAACCAAGACCAATCCCTGGACGACATACCGGAAAGCATGATCACCGACTCGGCCCTCAATCTCTCGGGCAGTTTTAAGCAACAAGCCTTGAAGAATTCAAAGGGCACCAAGTTTTGGGACACCTTCTCCGAGTCTAGCAGTATCGGCGGCGCTCGTACAACACCGCCTCCGCCTAATGGAGGACTCCCTCGCGGCTCATCGTCAGGAATGAGCGAAGACATTTGCATGGACTCTCCGTCACTGGGCCCCACGGCCGGCTTCGCTATGGCCGCGAGCAGCGGAGAGTCACAAAAGGGAGATACTCCTCTCCTCGCGCAGGGCCCGCAACCGGCGCCCAGTGCAGCGGAAATCACACGGCGGATCAACAGCAAGCGGCGGCGGGAGGACGACTACGACCCCGTCAGCCTCAAGCGTCGGGCAGTAAGCCCAGGCATGAGTGTGCACAATTCGCCCATCATGCAGAGCCCTATGCAACGCGACGTGGCACCCTGGGGGTCGCGGCCCGGCAGCAACAGCGGCGATAGGGGCGGCAGTGGCGCACCGAGCGAGTCGGGTAGCCTTGGAGGCGGCACGCCCGGCAGCGGCGCCAACGCCAACGGCCGGGTGGTGAACGGGAACAAAGGACGCGTTGGATTTCAGGGCATGGTTGATACCAACGACGGTTTGATGCGAATGAGCATCGAGTGATTTATTGAGGTGTGTTTTCAGGGTGGAATTGGCGCAGTCTGCATTTTTTGGGCGTTGGGATAGGACAATCTGAGTGTGTGAACAAAATATCGGCGAGAACGAGGGGTTATCAAGGCGAACGAACTTTGGGTGGTTATGGACAAGGAGCAAGGAGCAAATCAGTATATCCATAGAGGCCGAGCTTCGGCACCACACACACACACACACAAACTAACACTCAAACTAGCACGTATGCTACTTGCGAATGAAATAGAAATCTTTAATGAGCAAGATATTGTACACGCCAGAGTGATTACGAAGATGAAGGGATAATTCTCGGCCGGTGGTATCTTCCCCCGAAACGCCCGTGTACGCCTGTAATGCTTCCCAAACCCCCCCTTTCGTCCCCTTTTGATAATTCGATAAGAAATCCATGCAGTCACTCTGTCCCAGGTCCACCATCTCTCTACTCGTACAGCTTCCCCGTGGTTCCCTACCCATGACAGAAGGAGACAAATGCTTCGGAAACAGCTTATTCCACACCGACACCCTCCTCGGGAACCCGCAAGCTCCCAAGCTTATCATCCAACCACCGCGCCAGCTCCTCGGCATGCCGCCGCAACACCACGACACCCGCGGTATTCACGCTCCCGACGCTGGCGAGGGAGGTGGTCGTCTGGGCGCCGAGGCTGAGGATGCTGTCCGCTTCCGAGGGGGACGCGGGGATCTGGGAGGGCGTGCCTGTGCCCGCGCCGCTGTTTGCGCCTGCATTCGCTTGGGAGTGGGAGTGGGAGTGGTTGTGAGAGTGTTGGTCGGTAGAGGAGGAAGCTTGCTGAGCTTCGATGGTCTCGGCGAGGGGACCGATGCAGACGAAGAGGAGCCCGCACTTTAGTCTCCGGATGACGACGACCCCGGCGGCGAGTTGGACTGTTATCGTGAGGGGTTTTCCTCCCGCTCCTCCCGCGTGGTATCCTCCATCTTCTGATGCTGCAATAGTGTTTGCAGCAGCACCCGACGACGACGGCGGCGTGGAAGACGAGGAGGGGAGCGCGTCGGGTATATCGGGCGTCGCGGAGGCGTGGAGGGCGAAGAGGGAGGATGCGACGGTGGACTGGGTGCGGAGGAGGGAGACGGGCTGCGGGGAGGCGTGGGCGAGGAGGCGGCCTGAGGGGGTTGCGAGGAGTGCCGTGTGGAGGTTTGCGTTTAGGTTTGAGGCGAGGAAGGAGGTTAGGCGTTTTGTTAGGAGGAGGGGCGTTGGTTGGGTTAGGGACATGTTGTTTGTTGTGTGTCGTGAGTTTGGTTGCCGAGGGGGGAAGTTGAGGGTGATGAGGAGTTTGGGAGGTTGAGGTTGTGGTGAGGGTTGTAGATGTCGCGGTTCCGGTGTTCGGGAGGAGAGGAGGCGTGGTTTGATGCGGGTTGCTTCGTTTGGGTCCCGGTTTGATGAATGCGTGTTGTCTATCGTCACGACTGCTGAACGTGACCAATGTCGAACCTTCGAAGCTAGGGCAAGATGCGTGTGGGAGGGTGCGAGATTGGTGATGGTCGGGTGGTGGTTGAGGCTCGGGCAAAGATAGAGATCCACACGACTTCCCGGTTGTGGTGGTGGACAACCTGGAAGCTGGTGGGCGTGGCACTCGGAGCTTCGAGGTCGCGCGCCAAGTAAAATTTGGGCAGCACCTGGTGGAAGGTGGGGCTTGTCAAACGTCTGAAGGGTACGTACCGACAGTAAGTGCCTTGGTCTGTCACGCAGGGAATTCGTCCTGTTAGTGCCCGGCATCTACTGCAGCTAAGGTACCAAGACAGCTCAACGTGCTTGTGTCGTGTGATTTCATAGATAAATTGGATGAACTATGATAGACAAATGCAAACTACCTTGGTCAACTAGCTTGAGAAGCTTTTACTCATTCAGGTGCTATGACCATAACATAGCTCATAGAAGCACACTCTCGGGGTGAGTTGGTGACATTTCTACCCCCGATGTGCTTGACGGAAAACCCTCAAACACCAAACACCTACAAGAAACTGCTACCATTAGTCCAAAATCTCACCAGACATCTTATTCAACACCATGAATCGGTATCCAAGATCATCCATCACATCAGCATACTCCCTCCCTTCCTCCGTCTCGCACCTCCACTCCTTATACAACCTCTCCATCTCCTCCGCCAACCCCCTCGTTTGCACAGCCGGTATCTCGAGGTCATACTCCAACAGCGTCCGCACCGCAACCTTCAGGAACCGCGAGTACCCGGACCGGTGCAGCACCTCGTCGAGATGAACATCCGCAGCGGCCCCACCGCACGCCGGACCGGGCCCCGCACGTGCGTTCGGCGCCGACCCAGACGGCACAACGCACTGACACCCCGGGAAGTTCTCGTGCAAGCATCCGCGGCTGCCCTTGTGCGTCTCGTCGTCGTAGATGCAACCCATCTTTGCGCACCGCCGGATGTGGATGCACTGGCACGTCTGGCACCCGTCCAGGCTGGGGAGGGGCCGGCCGGTCATCATGCGGAAGAGGACGGCGCCGAGGGCCCAGTGTTCATCGCTGAGCGTGTAGAGGCGTTTACTCTATCGGCATGTCTTTAGCAAGGCTGCGATGTACTTGTGTGATATATTTCAGGGTCAACTCACCTTCCTCCCCGTATCCTTATATTCCTTCCATTGCCCAATCATCTCTGTAAGACGCATATGCCCCGTCTTGGGCGCAACAGGAAACCCGACACTATGCGGAAGCGGCTCCTCCCTCTCCAGCGCCCCCTCCCGCCGCGCCGGAACACCCGACACGAAAGCCTGGCCAAACTTGCCCAGCTTACACACGCCGTACGTCTCTTTGCCCCGCGAGTGCTGGAAAAAGATGGACTGCGCTTCAATACCGCGGTGCAAGATGGGCATCCACTCCGTATCCGTCGCCGCCCACGACTTCTCACCAGTCGTCCAGTCCACCTCCTGCCGATACCCATCATGCAGCCAAACAAGCGTACGAATCACAGAGGTAAGAACATGCCAGCAGAGCGACTCGGGCAAGAAACACCCCGGCTCGTGCTCCGCGTGCCGGTGGTCCGCAAAGAGGATCTCGAGCGTGCCGGCGTCGCAAATATCCCAAACCAAATAATCCTCCGTGGCCTGCTTCTCCGCGCGCGGGTCCAGGGGTTGCTGGCGGAGATACCCCGCGAGGGAGATGATATTCTCGTGGTTGAGGACGTGGGAGACGGTGCGGCCCATGTTGTGCGTGTAGAGGAGGTCCATGAGGCCCTTGACCTGGCGCTGCTTCCTGGTCGTGAAGCTCATCGAGTACTTGCCGGCGTCGTAGTACTCGTCAAAGTCGTCCACTTTGCGCGCGATGAACTCTTCGCCGTCGGCGTAGCCCGCGTGCTGGGCATTGCGCCGGGTGATCCAGATGTTCTTCTCGACTCGCTTGATGAGCTGGAATGGCGGCTGCGGGTGGTCTGGGTCCGCCTTTTCGGCTGTTGATGCTGACATGTTGGACCGCTTGGAGTATCAAATTGAAATATGTCACTCGATGGGTATGGAGATGTTAGGATCATGGCGAACTCTTGACATTTTTGAGAAAAGGTGATGCTATCGCCTTTGTAGCTCGCCCTGGTTCAGCATCGTCGTTTGCTCATCAGGCAGCATTAACTAGAAGGGACCATGATCACAGTCGAAACAAAGAATAGCCCTATGGCCATTGTACTCTTTGATTCAACGGTTGCCGCCTTGGCATTCCGGAAAGGGTCGTAAAGTACGCCACTTGGCAGACAATGATGATGAGCGTTGATGTTTTTAAGACATCCTCAATATTAACCTCACAACAGCGTAAGTTACTGCAAATTGGGAACTCATTTTCGAGCATAAGAGCAATGCTCAACAGACGAATATCATGGAATATTCAGAATAAATGTCCTGTATCCCGCCGGTCGAAACGTCTGTTCAATCGTTCGCCAAGGCAAACGAAGCAGCAGGCTCGGCCAAACGGGAGGGAACATATGCAAGGAAACATTTTTAGTCGTTCGCGCCGAAGCCGCATACTCTGGTGACACAGAGCGTTTACCCAGACCAACAGCCATGGCATTCCTGGTGTAGGCTGGTCGCACGACTTGTGAACCCACCGTCATTTCTTTGTCGGCCTGTCGCATTCAAATTAGAATGGCGATAAAGATAGCCGAATGGCCGGGGTAATCCACGTGCATCTAGCACCCACCAGCGTCCACCCCGCCGAGCAAATTGGTCGTGGAGAAGCGAAATGCTGCGTCTTCCGGATGTGGGAGGCGATCAAATTTGACTGAGCCCTTTTTTGGGTCGTGTTGGCCAAGACCTGCCGTCTGATCCGGGAGCGTTTGTCGACGCATCCCTTGGAGTTGTTTCCGGAGGCTGGTGCAGCGGTGCTGGTGGTCTGTAGGTCGGTCCATTGGTCCCTTGCGATGTTCGGGCAATGCTTAGGGAGGGAGCTGTAAGGTGGCACTCGTCGCAGTGGCAGTGTGGCACTGTACGAATACTCCGCAGACGCGGCGTCACTCTTCGTTTCGATGATACTGCTTGCCATCCACCCTGTGTTCGGCCGAACCGTCGAATGGCATAAATGGAGGGACAATCAATGCAAAAGAGGGTGTACTGGCCATGTATGAGGTAGAAGAAGCAGCAGAGGCAACCCCGGGGTTGTGTATTCGCGAGCTTGCCGTCATGCATACCGTTGTATGGGCCAGGGCACGGCGTTTCAGCGAGACTGCTCCGGGCAAAGCTGAGCAGAGTTGAGACGGGATGCCCGTGTTGAAAGGCTGAGTATCCATTCTGGCTGCGACGACTGTGAACAGCCGGCGTCGTTGTGAGTATAGTTATGGTTCTGGAATAATTGTTTGCCATTTGTCGGGTGCCCGAGTATTGGGCCTAACAGAGTCAGTTGTATTAACTTGCGAGCCACATCGGTAGAGACCGAGCAGAGGCCTCGTGGTCGGCCTCATCTCCACCGCACCGGCGCGGCTCTAGTGTGTTGGAAAGCTGACGTTGCAGTCTGCGGGAGTGGTTAGCGACCGCCGACAAGTCCATGATTCCTCCAGGCTTCATTCAGGAGGGTCGAAACAACGCGACCAAAGATCAGTAAGAAAGAAACAGCATTCCCGGCGGCTTCCCGCCGCTTCGAGAGGCGCAGGACTTGGGTCGATGGTTGGATGGGTGAAGCGGGCGCGTCCGAGCCGCGGCTGTAAAGGTGAGGCCGCGAACTATGTGGCCATGCCACCATGGTCAATCTCGAACCAGTGCCTGTCTCGAACAGAGCAACTGGCAGGCCTGGCGCGGGACGAGTTCTTCCATGGATTGGACGCAGGAGAAGATGCACAACATGAGAGGCTGAGGAGGCACGGCAAGGCACGGGTGGCGGAGAGACAGGAGGAGGACTGCAGGACTACAGGACTGCAGGAGAGGAGGAGGGGGAAGAAGGCCGACGGAGATGGTACGTACTGTTGTACACTGTGTGAGACTGTGAAAAGTTGTGGAGTTCTTGTCAAGGGCTATAATTGAGTTGAACCAATCAATGGCCCAGATGGTCACGGGAAATGGGACCTCAAACGCTCTGTTGGTGCACTAATCCGAACTGGGCGAGTTCGTGACATGGTACCTGCGTTAAAGGCCGCGCTTCCGTTCGCTATTGCTCCACAAGCCTCTTCTCCTCCCAGTCTCCAGGGCAGGACCCCTCGGACGGTGGACGCTTGCTCGAAACCGCCAAACTGCCCTCGCCCGTTGACCCTGTCTTCGTCTTCGTCTTCCCTTCCATTGCCCATGTCTGCGTGTCCGCGACTCTGCAACCATCAGCGGCAATCATCAATTATTGGATCATCTTACCCAAAAGGCCCCCCTTTCCTTCCCTTTTGGCACTGACCCGGTGTCTTGACCCTAGTCAGACTGTCAGACCCCCCCTCTCGCAGATCACTCTTGAAGGCCTCCACTCCCCTCTCACTCTCTCAGACTCTCCCTCACTCAAGGGTCACACGCTTCAACGCTTACCTCTGCGTCTTGCGCTCTTACACACACAACCACGCCACACACATTCCTCCTTCGAGCTTCACGAAGCACTTCCATGGCCTCAAGAGTAAGACTCGACGTTTTCGACCGAAACATTCCGATCGTGTGAACTATCCACGACGTCCGCTCCTTCTAGACTCGACCTTTGAATACACACAATACTCACTCAACTCACTCACTCAATCACTTGCATTGCGCACTGTAACTCTCTTCGCCCTTTTCGACATCCTGAGACTCAGCCTTGCAGCCCACGGCGGCCGATCAAACGCGGATATTCACCCACAACCAGAAAACCGTCACCGCCTAACTTCAAGTGCTTGCTCGACGACTCTCAGCTACCCCCATTCCCCGGGTCTGTCAATTCCTACTACGGTCGACCAGCCGACTTGGCTTTTGCTCGTTGTCGTCACGTCGCCACGAATCTTCACCAAGTCTTGATCCACCCTCAAACGCCCGGTCGCTCGACCATGCCAGCTTGACAATCGCGCGGTCCGAACTCTTGCGTCGCACATTCAGCCCTTTCTTCCTACCCTGGGACCCACATTCCGTTCTCCCTCTCGTTCAACAACCGAATCTTCTTCCTCTACTCCTTCGGCTTCGTCCCGTCTAAAGTATCGATCTTTCTCTCCTGGTCATCACCAAGAGAAACACTGTCGATTACTTCGCGGGCGAGTAACGACTTGTGTTTGCGGCAGGTCCGGGTTGCGTTATCACACACTCATTCACACGACAATTGGTCCCTCGGCGACCATCACCCTTCTTCTTCTCTTTCTCGACTCGACTGTGTCGGGATTCATCGATACAACTTTGACAATCGTCACCCTCGCCAATTCGCCCATTCTCCAAGATGGGTTGCCTCACTCACCGCAAAAAGGTCATTGACCAACGTGCCGAGCAGAAATGGGACTATATCGTACGTAGAACCTCATACGGTACAACATCCTTCTGGTGCTAACCTGTCTAGAACCTCAACGACTTCAAGTCACGAGGATGCCTCACTCCGTTCGCGTACTTTTACCTATGGCTTATGTTGATCATCTCCCTTGCCGTCTACGGCGTTGATATGTTCACTGCCATCAACCTCCTGGCTTTCGACCGCTGGTCCTCCGAAATCGACCCCGCCATCGACTTCAAGATCTCGAAGTGGATCTTCTCCATTTCCATCATCGCCTCCTTCGTCAATCTCGCCTTTGAGCATTTCCGGGCGCACCGCGTTATGAAGCGAGGAAACGTAGCTGAATGCTATCTCGACACCATTGCCGTTCGCCTCGAGAGTATCCGGTTCGGGAAGGGTCAGGGTTGGAAGCGTTTCTTGGTTTTCGCCGAACTCACCAAGAGCAAGAAGGGAGCCGAGTACATTGCTTTGTTCACCTACTTCAGCTTTCAATGTAAGCCAATCCCTCTTTCCCGTCGGGGCCGTTACTAATCTCATGTAGCCTGGATTCGTGTACTGGTCTGTTCCGGACCTCGTCAGGTCGTCAACGCATTGACTCTCAAGTCTGTCTACGACGCCAAGCTTGCTGTTCATGAAGTCTCCGTCGAGGGCTCCCTGCTAGGTTTCTTTGATAAGATTAAGACGCTTGCCACGGAGGACTACCAGCAGGCTCTCATCCTGTCGGGTATGGTCTTCACCCTCCTCATCTGGGTCTTCTCTGCTCTTTACCTCATCATGGCTGTTCTCTTCTACGTCTTCTTCCTCTTCCACTGGATCCCCAAGGCCGACGGAGGTCTCTCAGGCTACTGCGAGCGCAAGGTCACCAAGGCTCTCATGAAGATTGTGACAGTCAAGGTCAACAAGGCGTTAGCGAGACAGGAGGAAAGCAAGAGAAAGGCAGAAATGAAGGCGGCCAAGAAGAATGGTGAAAAAATGCCTCTGGAGCGACAGGCCACTTTGCCAACTCTACCCAACGTCGGAGACCCAGACAAGTTGGCCGAGATGCCCATGTTTGGCCGCAACGACACTTTTGCGACACTGCCCGCCTACGAGTCTCGTCCCGGAACCCCCGGCAGCATCGAACTCAACTCCATGGACCAGAAACGCCCCCTGCCCTCGAGAATGGGCACCACCACTTCCACCGCCAGCTACTCGTCGCGCGCACCTCTTGTTGGTGGCGCTGCCGACTTTGGCTACCAGCGCTCAGGTTCTCCGGCCCCTTCTCTGCCACCCATGGACTTGAACAACTACCCTCCTCAGCGCCCTGGCACCTCCAACTCCCAGAGGAGCTTCCGGCCTCAAATCTCTCACGTGCAAACCAACTCGCAAGGTTCTCTCCGCGGTGGTTTCTCAGAGAGCCCCTCCACATACTCTCCCGACACAATGCCTCCCTTCCCTCCGCCTGTGAGATCCAACACTGGCCGATCGGTAGAAAGCTTCAGATCGCAAAGACAAAACACTTACCAGAGTGACCGTGGCACGCCCGCGCCCAGAGGTACCTACGACGACTACTCGAGCCAGTCAAATGGACGGGCCAGCCCCGCGCCCTCAGCATACTCGGGCCGCGCTCCTGCACCCATGCCTCGTGGCCCCGGCCCGCTTAACAACACCCCGTACCAAGCGTACCAGCCATTCAACCCGCAACGGAGCGCGACTGGCCCGGTTCCTCCCCGAGGCCCTCCGAATGCTCCCACGCGGAACATGACGGCGCCCGTGCCTCCCCGGCCACAGGACGACTACTTCAACCGTCCCGGCACATCACAGAGCCAGCGACCGAGCCCTCGCGGCCCGGGATACGGCTACAATAACGATGTAGAGTCTCAGAGGGACCCGCGGTACTAGAGATACTGTGCCCCTTTTTGAGGTTCATAGATCGCGTGCGCTTATAGGGTTATGCGGCTGCGTCCCGCAATTTCTTTTTTTCATAATGTCTTTATGATTCAAAAGGGGTGTCTACTTTCGCGCTGGAAACAAGCGCACATTTCACGAAAGGCCTTTCTCGTCATTTCCTCTTGGCCCTCCTCTAGGCCTCTCTCTCACTTTTTGTTCCTATTCGGAGAACATAGCAGTGTGGAGGCTGAGGTTGAGGCTGCTCTTCCGTCTTTTTACGACCATCCTTTCGATACCCCCCGAAACTTTTCGCTTCATTCTCCGTCCGTCCATGTACTACTAGGAATTTCAGGGTCTACTGGCTACAGAAGTGCTCCAAGAGCCGCTAGAGAGAGGAAACCGCCTAAGTCCAAATGTACTTTTAGAAATACAATAACAACAAAGTCTGTTGATGACAATCCGATGTTCACACTTTCTGTGGTTTTGTTTGCCTTTGCGATGTCCTTCCCTTACTCTGTAGATTTGACACTGTATTTACTAACGTCCCCAGCGGCGCCAGGGCCCCTGGCAAGCTCGCAACGCCAATGCAGGCGATTAAAGTTTGGACCCGCTTCCCCGATGTGATCACCCCTGGCACAGTCTGACAGTGCCAATTGCCAAGAACACATCTTCACCACCTGCCAGCCTACGTCAGGCTGTCAGCTTTGGAATCCCGCCTACGCTGATCACGACATGCGCCCTTCGGTGCTTGATTTGTCACCCGGAGATGTCAATTTCATCCTTCAGGACTCGTAGAGATGCGCTTACAATTGACCCCATCGTGTTCGTAATGATTCCTCCTGATGTGATACTTCTCTGCCCTTCTCAGAATTCTCGCAATTCAATGAAAACGACGTGATCACCTGCGACTAACACCTCTCCATAGAGAACATCTCGTATGAACTACACCTTCCTCCTGACAACCCTTCTCTCGTCACAACTCCTCACAAGCTCAAGCCTCTTCTTCCACTCACAACAACAAAACACCAACGCCATCATGCCAGGCAGAACAATATCCTTCCACCAAGGCGAGCTCGCCCTCCACGAACAACTTAAAATTCCCCGCAGAGCGAACCCCACAGCCGCGGGCCTCCCCCCGTCCTACGGCAACCGCATCGCCGCCGCCCCGCTCCTGGCCCTCGGCACCCTAGACGCGGAACGCCGGCCCTGGACGACGCTGTGGGGCGGCGAGGCGGGCAACGTGGCGAGGCCGATTGCGGAGGATGTGCTTGGTCTCAGGAGCTGGGTTGATGTTGTTGATGATCCGGTGTTTAAGGCTCTTTGGGGGGCTGAGGGGAATGTAGACGGGGATCAGCAGCAGCAGCAGCATTTGCAAGAGGTGATTCAGCCTGGGAGGGGTCCGGATGGAGGTAAACTCGTCTCCGGGCTGGCCATCGACCTCACGACGCGGGATCGCGTAAAGTTTGGAGGCAGAATGGTGGCCGGGGCGGTTACGGTTGCCTTGGATGGTGGGGACCGGAGCTCTTTCTCCTCTGCCCCTTCGGAAGTACAGATCGCGGTACACGTCGAAGAGAGTCTGGGAAACTGCCCCAAGTACCTCAACAAAAAGGACGTCATCCCGCGGGCGTCGCTCGTCAAGGGCAGAGTGGAGCGGGAGTTGCCGCTGTCTGAAGAGGCTGTGAAGGTCGTGCGCGGGGCGGATATGCTTTTCCTCACGAGCGGGTACGAGGAGGGAGGGGATCACGGTGGTGGTAGTAGCAGTATGGATACGAATCACCGGGGAGGGTCGAGGGGGTTTGTGAGGGTTGCGAGGAATGATGAGGGTGGCGTGGAGATTGTGTATCCCGAATGTGAGTTTACTGCAACCCCATTTTCGAGTCATTTGGATCAAGGAATTGTGATTAGAGGCTAATCATTTTACAGTTTCCGGCAATCGGTTATATCAGACGCTGGGGAACCTTAAATTGAACCCCTTGGTCGGGATCGCGATACCAGACTTTAAGACGTCAGACGTCCTGTACGTGAGTATCACTCTATCCGCCTTCCACTACACCCATTCACATTGACCAGAAGGCTAACACTTGAGGTGGGAAAAGCTCACGGGATCGGCATCGATACTCGTCGGACAAGACGCGGCAAACTACCTCCCGCGCACAAAACTCGCCGTCAAAATCACCGTGTCGGCCGCGGTCTTTGTACAGTTGGGCCTACCCTTCTCCGGGACCCCTCTCGAGCCGTCGCCGTATAATCCACCCGTGAGACCGCTCTTCTCCGAGCAGCAGCACACCTTGAGTTCGTCTGCAGAGAAAACAAGGACGGCCACGCTGCTACGCCGCGAGATCATCACGCCGACGATTGCGCGGTTCGTCTTTGGCCTGGAGCCCGCGGCGCAGTGGGAGGCGGGCCAGTACGTCACGTTTGATTTCGCGGAGGAGCTGGATGTCGGGTGGATTCATATGCGCGACGACGAGCCGCAGAGCCTGAATGATGATTATGTGAGGACGTTTACGGTTTCGAGTCCGCCTGGAGATAGCGGCGGAAGGGAGTTTGAGATTACGGCAAGGAAGAATGGTCCGGTTACGAATTTGTTGTGGAGGTGGAGTTTGAGGGTTCCGTTGGAGGTTCCTGTGCTTGGGTTTGGCGGCGAAGAGGCGTTTAGGATGGGTAGGAGGGGGAAGCAAGATGATGACGGTGGTGATGATGTTGAAGAGGTGTTTGTTGCTGCTGGTGTTGGGATTACGCCTTTGATTGCGCAGGCTGGTGGTGTTTTGGAGTCTGGGGTGAGAGTGAAGGTGTTGTGGACTGTGAAAGGAGAGGACGTGAAGCTGGTGAGGGATGTTGTTGGGAGGATTCCTGGGTTGGCCGGTGTGCTGAGGGTGTTTGTGACGGGCGAGGTTGGAGAGACGGAGGAGGCGATGATATGGGAGTTTGAAGGGCTCGAGGCTGTTGTTGAGAGGAGGAGGATTCGAGCTGGTGATGTGAAGGGTGGCGGTATCAAAAGGAGATACTTTTTGTGTACCGGGCCGGAGATGCTCAAGGTCTTGAATGGGTGGTTGGAAGGTGAGGATGTGGCATTTGAGGACTTTGCTTTTTGAGGAGGCAGTAGAGGATATCTTCAAGATCTATACAATCTACCAGTCAAGCTGTCTGGCAAAAGGCTTCAATTTCATATCTTGAATAAGGAAACGAGACTATGACTTATGGATGTTTTTACGATAATTGACCAAACGATATCTCATCACATCAGGGTAGAGCTGCTAGAAAGGTTGGTTCACAATCCTTGCCACATGGTAACAGACACTTCGTAATGTCTAGTAAGGTTTCGTTATGAAGCTCTTGGATATTGTAAACCAATCTGGAAGAGCGGAGTCCGTTCAACTACCGGCAGCAAGACGTCTGGTTGAGACATTGAATCTGGGAGAATTTCTCGCTGATTGGACTCAGAAGAGGCATGATCACCTAATCGCAGTTTCGGGATTGGTTGGGCAAGAATGAAGAATTAATTAACTCGGAAGGCGGAAGGCGCAAAAGTAACGTCAAGTTGTATCATTGCTGAAAAGGAAAGAGCAGAGGAAGTGTAAGCGAGACCCCGTACCTGCTCCAAGTCAATACAGTCGACGCTGGAAAAATACACCTGGCCACAGCTGGCATTGCCACTTTCCATCGCCGCGATTCTCAACCGCAAGCGACGATGCCACACGATTTTCCCGATTGCCGCCAAACCCCAGAGTTCTGGAACCCCATCCTGCCGCCGGATCGGCTCACACGTTGGCATCATCGCGTCTTCGTCTTCGTCTGCGATTGAGCGACACCCGCGACAGAGTATTTGGATTCGAGACGAAGCGAGACCAAGGCTCGAGCTTGACTGTCCCAGTTGAGCCTCAGAGTCGAGAGTCAAGCGGCATTTCCGGCAAGCTCCAGCCAGGCGAGGAGTGCAATCGAGATGGTCGTGACCCAACATTAAACTGTCAACTGAGGCACAGCAAATATCTACATACGGACTATGGATACACTAGGTGCATGTGCTGCCCCGCCGCCAGGCTCTCACCGATGAATTGAACATGCAACTTGGCTCATGCTCAGCTCGGCAGTGGAGATTCATCCGGAGGGCACGTCGACTCGGATCGAAGACATGGCTGGACCGCTAGAGACACCTTTCAAGCCGGGACCCAGCTGCCTGCCTGCGTGTCTGCTCAATTGGGACATCTCGATCAGTAGTGAGTGCTGGGGATTGAGGGCATCGTCGGGTCGACCGGTGCCCGCAAAACTCCAATGCGTGTCAGATGTTAGAGGACACAACTCACCAGACTCTCGCGTAACAAACAGTCCGCCATGATCCGGATCCGTTGTGTGCTCGTGGCACGACCGGAATCACCTTTTCGCTCTCGCCATTGTCTCCTGTCGCGCCCCCTGTCTCTCGGCCGATTCCTTCTGCTGGATCGATCAAGGGGCATTCAAAGATCTGGTCTGGGCTTGCTCGTTCTGCGTAGCGAGACAGATTGCTCTCTCAAATTCTCATTGGCCAACCACAGGCTCCCGGCAAGTTCCCGGAATACGGAGACTGGGGGGATGAATTCGACAGGAAAAAAAGTGAGAGATCTCGATGCGTGCTGCTTGGCCGAGCACAGACTCAGACGGCGCCCTTGTCAACCTGCATTCAATTCTTTCAGGGCAGCAACAGACATGGATGCAAAGGGCCAAATCCAGTCTACCTCATCGCACCAGCCAGCCGAGCGCACCTTTGACCTGTGCTGTTTTTGCCTACGCAGAACGGGCTATTGGGCCTGAGACGCCGTGTGCTTGGTGTGGTGAAGAAGAGCAAGCGACTCATTGAACTCGGCGGTTCCCAGACGGATGACGAGGGAATGGAACCACTTCCACATCTCGATGCGATGTTGAGGCCTGTCACCCCAAAGCCCATGTCAGAATTCGATGGCGACCAGGGGATTCTGAGCAACGTTTCTCCAGCAAAGAAAAAGCCCGATTCCGATGCTGGCGGCCAGACTGTCACACCACCAAGGTGTACGCAGCAAAGAGGACAGCATGGGCAAAACATGCCGCAAGTGAGCAAAATCCTCATCCAGGCGGGATCGAAATGGGTGCAGGGGCCCATGCCAGTGGAATCGAGATTATGGGAAACCCGTTGCGGCGATCGCTGTGATCGCTGGGCCAAACGCAAATCTGAGCATCGGATTCCGCTCCGACTCATCACCCTGGCTCCCACACACACGCCCATCGGCCATCGCCCAGGGCGTCCATGCAGTTCGTCACCGATTGTCCTTAACGAGCGGCACTTGGCCGGAAGCAGCAATGTCATTGATCAAACGATAGCGACCCGAACCTGTCTGAGAGCTTGCGTTGACAACGGCTTAACAGTAGGGACGCCTCCCCACGTCCCAAGTCTATGGTAGATGGCATTGCCGGCTGTTAGGCTTCTGGTACGAACCCCGCCGCTCCACCGCTGCCGTCCAAACATGACGAGGTGACGCTGGTCGCCATCATTCCTCACCCCGCGCGAAGACGGTTCTCCATCTACTGCATACTCTGTCCGTACAATTTCTGCACCTGGTCAAGCGAGCACCCCCCCTGGCAAGCATCCAAGTGGGAGCTCTACGCAGGACGCACCGTGGACATGGGCCCGACCTGTTGGCAGTGGTGGTCGTTGTGGTCCTTCAGCCATCTTTCGTTGATGTAATGGCCCATCTGACGAGTAAAATCCTCACCAGGATTGGATGGAAACGCTCGCTCTGTTACGAACAAGTCGGAGCAAGGACCGTTTATTCTGCTCTCCCAAAGGTCAAAGACTCCTCCTCCTTGCCGAGCTTACCTCACCAAGCTCACCACCTGAGCAAGCAGACGCCGAGGACTGGACACCAAAGAGACCTAGACCCTTAACTTTGCGGGAGGCCGTTCCAGGTCTAAACCCACCCCCTTCTCCACACTACTACTCCCGATCATCGTGTTCCACGCATCGACTCGCGATCAGTCCTGCAACATCAACGATCGCTCCGCTTGCTGGTGGACAACGGTATCTCCAACCAGCCCCTACCGTTCTGCCACCACATTTGCCCAAAGTGTACTTTGTACGTTTGCCTAATAACGTCTGCTGCACCACCCGACGTACCTTTCAGCGAACAACGTACCGTTCTTCGATATCTTGGCTTGATGACCTTACATCCTTCCACAACGACCTGTCACTTTTTCCCTGACTCTGTCGACCAACGATTTACACTTGATATAGCAATTATCAAGCAGTAACCCTCACAGCCCGCGATCGACTTTTCTTTGCCAGCACATCCAGACATACGCATAATGCAAAGCGCCTAACCACCTTACTCTGTACCATATTACCGCCCGCCAACCCTGCTCTCTCGCTGTTCGAACCGGCCAAACACCCCCGGTCACACATCCCACTCCCTCCCAGTCACCCGTCACATCGTCGCTTTATAATCACATACAGCCTTTAGGCTCTGCCAACCTTCGCAATGTCGATGCAAGAGTTCCAGTACCCGGCTTCCTATCTTCAACCGCAAAAGACGGAACGCATTCTATCATTTCGGGCCCAAAATCAAATGTCGCCAACCATGAATCCGTGGGAATCCTGCGCGCTGCAGGTACGTTGGAGACTCTGATCAATTCAGGCTTGCTGGCTCCGGTACTGACATCACTCCCAGTACCAATTCTCCGAGGAGACTGAGCAAGTTGCGCAGGGAACGCGTAGTACTTGGCGACAACCGCAAGCCGCTGCCGATCCCGTCATGTACCCTGGACTTTACTGCCCCAGCGGATTTGACATGATGAGCATTCTCGTAAGTACTCAACATTGATGTTGATGATTACAGTAATTAACAAACATCAGCTCCGCGTCGCTGGAAGGCCCAACCCCAAGGTTGAACTTGGCGCAATTGACTGTTCTGTTGCCCTGCTACTTTGTGACCTCGAACAGCCCGATTGCCCGATTGTCTACGCCTCCGAGCACTTTAGCATCCTCACCGGCTACAAGAACAGCGAGATTCTTGGCAAGAACTGCCGCTTCCTTCAAGCGCCCGGCGGAAAGGTCAGCAAGAAATCTGCCAGGAAGCACGTCCCGAAAGAAACCGTCAAGAGCATGCGCAAGGCTGTCGAGGCAAACGATGAATTCCAGACCGACGTTCTCAACTTTAGGAAAGATGGCACTTCCTTCGTCAACCTCCTCACCATGATTCCCGTACGCTGGGACTCTCAGCACTTCCGATACTCGGTCGGCTTCCAGGTGGCACGCGAGGATTAATTTCGGCACCACGAAAGACGCAAACACGATCCTCTGTGCCAATTTTTCGCCCACGGTACCTGTCAACTTTTGGCCGCGAAAGTCACGAAACGTTTTCTTTATACAGGCAACGAACTATGTCACGACTTCATTATGAGCGAGGCATCTGCTATTAGGCATCTACGATACCCACGTTACACGCATGCGAGTTAGAGCCCACGCATCTCGGAAGCGATACGATTTTTTTTTTAATCTTTTTATTTCTTGCAATTTGGGGGTGTTTCTGCGGCGTTTTCTATCAGGATACGAAGAACGATGAAAAAAGCGAATTACTACTACTGCATGGAGATCTGGAGTCACTTTTAGGTGCATCAAGACCATTATCAATCATCCGCCTCGTTGGAGTTGATGGATGGCAGGGGAAAGCGAATTGAGAAACCCAGCTTCAAAGCATTTAGGATGGCGTACTACAGACAGTCGGCACCGGCCTTGACTGTTAAGGGATCGGGGCTTCTTGGGAATTTTCTATCATGTCCGCCACATGATATCTTGATCATGACGAAATGTTATAGCATAGCAGACGGCCCAAGGCCCTCGGCGAATTGAGTTACAGGCGTTATATTTCGGGAAACACAGCATATGGTTACTTGACGATTTGTGATGGTTCTTGCCTGCATCGTGACACTGCATTTACGAACACCGCACACGAATCAATGTCTGATAATCAGGGCTGCATCGAGGGACAATTGGACAAGTTTGAGAGGTTTAGTTGAAGGGGACCCCTTACTTTCAACCATCGTTGGCGTCATCAAAGACCGGTGAGACACTTGCACATGTTGCTAAACCCAAACCCACCTCAAGCTAGAAAAGGTCGACAGCTCGTGGGTGGACACGGACTCAATTCGACAGGCCCTCTCAAGTGGGTGACAAAATAGGATGCTAGTCAACAAGATTATAACGCCTACTTACCTGCTTATTATGCCTAATATTCTTGTTCTTTTTACTACTTCTATTTTTATTTTTTGTATATTCATTCGAGAATACTCCTCAAAAGAAGAATAGGAATATGGATAATAGGAATAGGAACGATAGAGAAAGAGCTAGGGAGGGTATCGATAGAGCGGCAAGCGGTTTGGTCATCCACTTGCCTCTCAAAACATGCAGTGCAACCAACTGCGTGTGTCTGCTTGCTTTATGGTTGCTTTTTCCGGGTGAGTTTTGAGACTAATGTACAAAGGAAGACGCCTCAACCGACTAGTTCGGATGTCCATACACAGAAGAGACACGGCAGATCCGACAGGCAAGTAGGTTAGTTTGGTAGTCTTACCTAAGCTTACTGCTAAAGCTCGTCAACCTCCTCCCCCTCCTCTAAGGTGCGCCGGACGTCCATTTGGGGGAATTATTGGTGTGATCAGATGAATGTCACGGATTGATACTCGAGAGTTTAGTGAGGTCATATTGCACTACGGCTTTCTCACGTAGTCCTGTCCACGCTATCTTTTTGCATTTCAACAGCGACTTTACCAGTATCCAAAGCAAAAGAAGAAGCAACTTACTACCCCAACTCACCAACAACAAAAGTACGAGACAGCAGTATCCAAGGTCCGCAACTCAGCGACTTGAAGATCCAAAAAAAATGCCTCTCCGCGGACCCGTACCGGTGAAGCTCTACACAAAGGAGAACAGCGAGTGCCTCAAGCTGGGACCCATGACGATTTACATATTCGAGGACGGGAGCAACACGGATAACCGCGTCGGGTGCATGACGCTGGAGCTGCCGCCAGCGACGTCCGGGCCGCCGATGCACTGGCACCGGTTCCACGACGAGTGCTTTTTTGTGACCAAGGGTGAGTCTTTTTACTACCTTGCATTCTATTGCAGGATTCATGGAAACAAAATCGCTATTGGGGGTTTCACTATTGATAAAATTCAATCGTTTCACTACTCATGTTCGGACTGAATGGAGAGTGTTTGTCTTGTTGACGTTTTCTTGCGACGGCGGGATATAGGTACGATCCGGTTTTCAACGCCCGAAGGGAACGTGGATGCCGAGGAGGGCCAGCTGATGGTCGTGCCGCCGAGGGCGATCCATACGTTTTCCAACCCATCCGAGACGGATCCTGCGGAGTTCTTCATGACGTCTACGCCAGGTATGTACTTTCTTCCGTTAACGCCCTTCCTGAATATCATCGTGGCAGATGGGACTAATACTACTTCAGGATATTACATGGATTGTAAGTACTCGGAAGGCCCGGCATCCCGAGGCCGAACACCTATGATGGGTGGTATCTTGATGTGAAAAAAAGCTGACGGGTGACGGCAGATTTCCGTATGATGGCCAAGGGAGTCGAAGAGGGGAAGAAGTTGTCCCGCGACGAGACGCAGCATCTCATGGCGCTGTTTGGAACGTTCCCGCCGGATGTGGAGTCGGAGCCGTGAAGCGAACTTGATCTTTGGGATTTTGGTAGAGGATGGAATTGTGGTATCTACGGGAATCGGGGACCCATATGAGATGTAACTTCGATAAGATATAAACGCTCACCCCTTCAGTCGGAGGGACCTCCGTCTACGCGTGTCCTCTACCGCCGTTGCCTTTGTCTCCCCAGCCGCCTCTTCCTTCTTTACGGCAGTCTTCTTGGACTTGGTTGATGGAGCCGTAGGCTTCTCCGCAGCCTGTTTTGAAGCTCGTTGCTTCTTGTTTGGCGCCGGTGCTTCGGCGGCGGGCTCAGGAGTCTCCTCCTTCTTCACCTTTGCCGCCGCGGCGGGCTTTGCTTTGGCGGGACCCTTGGCGCCTCTTGCTTTCTTGCTGGGCTTCTCCTCCTCATGGCTCTCGTCCGCCTTCGCCTGCCTCCTCTTCTTCGCGGCGGCCTTGGGCTTCTTGCCGTCATCACCCTCTTCCTCCACGGACTCCTCCTTCGCCGACGGCACAACCTGGCCAGTCTTCTTCTGCCTCCCAGGAGCATAGCAACTCGTCCTCCCGCCAACGGTGATAAACGCAAGCTTCTCCCCGTTGGGCAGCTCTGACGCGGCGCCTTTACTCCCCTTGCCCCAGCGATAATTAAACAACCAATCGTCCGGGAACTCGTCCGAGTCCCCGAGCTTATCGACGGCCGTCTGACAGACATACCGTACGGCCTCGTACAACCTCGTCATCTCCCCTTCGTCAAAGGTATCGCAGTACTGCTCCGGGTGCAGCCGGGACTGGTACAGCACCTCGTCGGCGACCCAGTTGCCGATGCCGCTGATGTGGCTCTGATCGAGGAGGAGGGCCTTGACGGGGACGTGGCGGGACTGCATCTTTTGGCGGAGGTAGGTCTCCGTGAAGACGTCGACGTCGACGACCGGGTCGGGCCCGTTTTCTTTCAGGGGCGAGTGGGATCGGATCTCTGCGCCGGGGCAGTCTACCAGGCGGATGCGGCCGAAGCGACGGGGGTCGGTGAAGGCGGCTGAGACTTTGGGCGTGCCTTCGGTCTCGATATGGAATTTCCAGTATTTGGGTGGCCAGATGTCTGCTTCGCCTTCCTTCATCTTTTTGTAGTAGTTTGTGTAAGCTGTTTTGTCGCCTTTGATGTGAATCCATCCTGCGTGGTGTCAGTCCCCATTCCAAGGTACTTGGGCGTGAATTTGTCTTCATTACCTGTCATGCCCAAATGCATCACTGCATGAGGGGGTTTGTCGAATGTGATCCTGAGACGAAATGAGCGTCTGTCAAGAGCCTTCAGACAATCAATGGAGTGAGTAGACATACCAGAAGTACTTCCCTTGACTTCCGACAGAAACAACCTTCCTCCCCTTTACAGCTTTCTCAAAGGCCGGGCCGCTGGTGCCAACTTTACCGAATACATTGGCATCGTCAGGGGCAGAGACCTTGGCAATCTTCTTACCCACAAGATGAAGGCGCAAGAAGTGCACGCACCGCGCAACTGCAAGAACATGAGCCAGCTTGCCTTTCTCAATTCAACAAGATCAGTCTCACCTTCAGCAATCTCGGGCATTTTTACACTGTTTTATTGTCTGTCTCGCTTGCTTGAAGAAAGGAGATCACGGGTGGACGTCTCTTGTCTCCTGAGATCTGCGACGACTTGCACACTGCGGATCCATGACGCAGACGCAGACAGGACGCGTCGAGCTCTCAAGCCAGGACCGGCCACCCGCGCCGACCGTTCGCGCGAGCACGTGACCTTACACGTGAAAGACCTGCAGCTACACCTCGAGTGGGTCGTGGCCGACCGCCAGCTTCGCACCCCCACTCGCGGCTCAAAATTTCCCAGCACCTTTAAAACTCTTCCCTCGCAGGCCACACCGAGTTCACGATCCTTTCTTTCCAATACTGCGACACGCAGCAAATTGGCTGCGTAGCCTCACATGATCTGGTAAGTACGCGCTCGCGCTTATTTCTACTTTTACCTTCAAAACACCCCCAATCCTTGGTGATGACAGACAAACACCGCAAACTAGAGTCTTTGACCTAAATGGAATGAAACCTCTGTTTTACACGTCAGTCTGATAGGACACGACAATGTCGCAATTTGTTTCTGGATTTTACGCGCTTTGCTTGAGCAAGTGGCTAACCAAACAAATCAGGCTTTGACAGATTTATTTCAATCTGACGCCGGTATCATTGGGCTACATGGCTGCCTCGAGATGGCTTGACAAAAGGTACGGTACACCTCTCCCTCAACCTTCCCACTCGAGATCCGGATGATTAGTTTTTTTGTGCTTTGCACAGTTGGAATTACCGGCTGAACACTCTTGTTGAAAACAACTGGCTGTTTCTGATTGATCTCACTATCCTTTCTTCCATATATGCATCTGTTGTCGTCGAACCTCGTCGCTAACATGGAAATTAGCCATCTCAGATCCAATCGACAAGGTACATACCGATTCCTTCCCTCTCCCGCCCTCCCATCATTACATGATGAAGCGGCACTGGGCTCCGAGAGTACCCATATGGGACTCGGCCATGAGCAGACAAGCCACTTTGCGGCAGGCCTAGAAAACCTCGCCCACTGATTTCGATCCGAACACTCGACTTGTCGGGAATACACCTCGCTGTTCAGGTGGCTAACCCGTCTACAACAGTGTCGAAATGGGGTTCGCTTTGCTATTCAATCTCTCCGTGTCTTCTGCCAGTGCAACACAGACGCACTTGCTTCCTTCTAGTCCAGTCATGGTAGGTCTAACATTTTTCTTTGCTGCCCCCCATGCCTTCCTGATGAGCAACTTAGATGACGAGTCTGATTTGGATTTTCCAATGCGGATACAAACTTTTTATACCATTCATGCAACGACTGAATTGGCTTCATTACATCACGTTTTGACTTGATGAGCATGAACATCGCTAACCGTCTCTAAGATTTCAATTTCCTCTGACGTGGCTTGACCGGTTGTCCAAGACGCACCATCACGTGGCTCAAGTGGTAAGCTCCCCTACCCTTCCGTTTACCCCTCCAGCCACCCACGGCTCCGTTCTTCTGATGAACGATAAACCAAAGACAAGCATATGTCAGAGCCTAACGGCGAAGCTGAGACACGTTGACTACCAGTCATTCTGATCGAACACTTCACATTTGCATTCTTTCTTGGAAACAACGGTGAATACAGGTGGCTAACATTCACCTTCTAGAGTCATATGGTGTACACCCTCCCTCATCCTTTCCTTGTCGGCGACCTTGCATCAAATGGTAAGCTACATTTCCACCTATCGTCTTCTCCCTTTACACACCCTCCCGCGTCTACGTGATGATCATAATATATATCACGACGGTCTCCTGAGCCATATGCTTTGATGACACTGCCTTTGACAAGGCCCCTTACTGATTTTTGACGCTTCACACATTGTTTTCTGTACGAGTCGTGGTGTATTGCAAACAGTGGCTAACTGAAGTTGTCAGATGCTCTCAGGATTGTTTTTTCGTCAATGATGCAAGCCAAGGTAGGTTTGTGCCGTGCATGTCGATATATATATTCTCAATACAATAATTGATTATCCACTACTTCTGTTTGCCCTGCCTCTGCCATGTGACTCGTTTATCCTTCAGATTCGAACGTTGTATGAGACACGTCGCTTCAGCTACATACGCTCCATGGGGCCGTGATGCGAAGAGATCCTCCAACTGTGATTTCCCTCCAGTCCTTTGCCAGGGCCCAATTTTACCACCAGACCCTTGCGGACTGCTTCTCCAAGTGGCAACAGATAGCAAACAGTAAGAGAAGTCTGCGCGTCCGCGACTTATGTCCATCAATCACAATAGGCATTCTATTCTCGCATGCCCGCACAGTCAAGACGCGCGTAATCACATTTCGTCATCATTGCCAAGACGCACGTTTACTGCTTTGTATTCCAACTGTCATTAAGGGGGTATCATGAAGTCTTCAACTAACACAAATCAAAAACACATCCAGCACTTATCTGCAGTGCCTCTCCTTCCTTTTTGATCCCTTCCATGTTTTCCTCCTTCACATCCAAAAAAAAAAAAAATGCCCAGAAACGCCCAACCAAGATGACTCTCAAGGCCGTCCGAATGCTCTCTAGTGCCCAACCACGAGATGCAAATATGCTACTTTGCCGCGTACATGATGCCCCAAAGCTTCTTGATGACTTTCAATCAGAAACTCTCCGTCACGCCGAGCAGAAACACGCCAATCAAAAATGTAACCGAAACCACGAGGGGCATCCTTGGTGCTTGCGTAGCCACACTGCCGCTCGTTGGCGTCGACGTCGCCGTGAACAATCCCGTAAGCACCGTAGACGATGTGGAGGCGGCAGGCTGCGTAGAAGTCGGAGCTTCCGTGGCCAAAGGCCAGTCACTCGAGGCGCTGTACAGCACACCGTTGATGATCGTCCCCTCGCCGCGCTGGAGCATGCTGACCTGCTCGTCGCTGCATGACGCTTGCATGTAGCGCAGCCAGCAGGTGGCAGCAGGCGAGTCCGGCAGTTTGTCCGTGTGCGTGGCGTGGGCGTCTCCAGAGGTATTGTAGTTGGCCAAGTTTACCTGATCGCCGGTCGAGATGGATGTGCCCATGATGACACGCGCAAAAACCTGGAACGCGGTTTCTGGCTGATAGGCTGGCACCGAGTGGCCGGCCTGATAGATGCGGCTGAAGGATAGGTTTCCAAACTGCCTCACGACACCGCCAATGTACGAGTCGTTGACGATGATGGGCGCGTAGCCGGCGGCGCTGAAGTTGCGGCCGTATACGGAGCTAGCTTGCCAAGCAAGAGTCGTCGACGCGGCCTCCCCACCCAGCCAGTTGCAAATGTAATCACGATCACCGTAGATCAGAGCGACGCGAATACCGCGCTGCAAAAGACCGGCCAATTTCGGGATCAAGGGTCCTCGCATGTAGTCACCCGTGCCAGAAAAGGCGGAAAAAACAGCCTGACTCGTCATCGTGAAGTTGACGACGGAGCCAATGGACTGCTGGAAGCCGGCGGTGTTGACATATTCGAGATACGTATTGGGCGGAAACGAGTCCGGGTTCTTGCGCGCAATGTCGTACCAGCTGCGGCCGGACTCGGAATACGGTGCCATGACGTTGTCTGTGCAGGTCTGATAGGCCCTGGAACACAGAGTGTTTACTGTATCCACTCCGCCGGTGTTGTTGGCGTCGTAGACGGACTCGGCGGTGCGACATTGTTTGATCAAGTCCAGGCAGCCGCCCGAGGTGTACAAGCTGCCGTTGGCCAGGCTTGCGCGGACATCGTTCATGGCTTTGAAGCCGTACGTGTTGTTGGTAGCCATGGCCGGGTAGAATTCCGCCTGAACCTGATCGTCGATGCAGCCGTTAACAATGCCTAGGGACGTGAGGTGGACTTCGAGCGTGTTGTTGGCCGACAGCGTCCCGTTCTGCCGTCTCTCATTTTGCTTCTCCCACACATCAGAGAAAACAGACCCGTACTTTCCTCCATAACTCTCAGCGAACAGGTTGATGCCTAGAGAGCTGTTGTTTGGGGGGTTATACTGGGGGAATGCGCCCAAGAAGCCTTGAAGCATGTGCCATATCGCATACGCAGCCGTCTCGGTGGTATTTGCCGTGTTGTTGGAGTTCAGCGAGCTAAAGGTACCGTTGAGAAACGTTGCGAGGGGCTGTCCATTGGGGACTGGCTGAGGCGGACTCGACTGATTCGCGTTGAACAGATCCATGGAGCCATTGGTCGCAATGTCATACGAGAAGCCAACTTGGTTTGGCTGAGCAGTGTTAGCATGTTGCTAACGAGTGCTTGCCGGACCAGAAGATGCCAGAAACTTACCTGATCGATGAAGAGCATGTTGGAAGCGCGGTCCCATCCCCATTCTCGCGCCACAGTGTCGTATTGGTTTAGGCCCTTCTCAATGACCTCGCAAGGGCCGACCTCGGTGAACATGCCAAAGAGAGAGCTGACGCCGGGGCCGCCGTTGAGCCAGATGGTCATGGCCTCTGTGGGTTCTCGGGCGCCGATGAACCAGAAGAACATGTTTGCTGGGTAAGGCCCGGGGACGTTGATCCATCCTGTGTATTGTTGCTGGGTATCGTAGGCGGTCTTGCAAACACCCTTGGGTGTCTTGTAGCGAATGGTGACATTGCCATCTACGGGCGAGGTGATTGTGGTGAGATTGACCGAGGTGGAAGGGAATTGAGCATTGGCGAAGGCGGAGAGCAGGCCGGCGACGGCGAAGACGGAGTGGAAGAGGCGCATGGTGAGATGTCCTGCATCGTGTCCTCGGCGCATACTCTCGCTCAGGGCGATGTCGTCGGTCGGGAGCAGAGGCGATGTGCGGGCTTCAATGTTGTTGCCAATTCAAGTCGAGGCGGTTCGAGGATGATGGCGAGAGTGACGCAACACGAGCGAGTGTGGTGTTGTGTTGTGTACCTTGGTGTGTTCGGATGTGGAATGCACAAAATGCGACGGAAGTGAGGGAGGAATGTTGTCGGTTTCGAAGGTCCCCAGTCCCCCGTCGGATAGCGGCTTGGCAGACGTGCCCCTGCATTTAGCGCCATTGTTTGGTGTCAACGGGCGCCCACAGGCCCTACGGGGCCCCGAACGCCTGCCCCGTTGCCCGTGGGCTATCTAATTTAACATCAAGTCCAATCCACTGTCCACACGAGCAGGGCGTCTAGGCCCTGTTGCAATGGTGCTCTACATGTGAAGCACAGACAGGGAACCTGGAACACGCGGCCCGCGGGGAGTTTTGCTGACGGGATCGCCCAGTGGCCGGGGTCTGGGGCTGACAGGACCAAGGTTCCTCCTCCTCACCACCCCTTCCACCTTCATCTCCATCTCAATAACCTGCAAGCAGTCAGCA